TGGAGACAGCCTCTAAGTCCCATTGGCTTCATGTTCCACAAGACTCAGCCCTTGGGGGTGCCTGAGGATAGCTAAGTGTCTTGGCTAGAAGTAAGGGGGACAAGGAAGCTTCTGCCACTCAGAGAAGAAATGGCCCCTGCTTGGGGCCAGGTCGGGGGAGAATGTGGGGCTCTGTGGAAACTGAGGCCCGGGTAGAGAGTCAGGCAGCCAGTGTATCTCCAGGAGGAAATGACAGCTCTGCAGGTTTCTGTCCTCTGCACACAGGCTTAGAAAGGGCCAGAAGCCCCACCCCCACCCCCACCCAGGGGCCTCCCAGGATGAAGGGTGGTGTGGCCAGCAGCATCCCAGGGGGGATATTAACTAGGAACCTTGTGGCCACCCCCACCCCGAGGCCCTCCCATCCAGGCCCTGGAACCCCATTAACTCACCCGAGCTGCTGTCCAGTCCCAGGGAGAGGGATACCAAGGAGGACTGAGAGGAAGTTTTCCACCATACATGAAATGAGCGCTGAGATTCAGAAATTAAGTGAAATGGTAGGAGAAAGTTCAGTTATAGAATAACTGAACTACTGAGCTGGTGGCCTGCAGGAGATCCCGGTCACCTACAGCTGAGAAAACGGAGGCTCAGAGAGGACAAGCCAGAAGCTCAAGGCCTCCAAGTTCACATGGAGAGGAGGCAGAGTCAGAACCAGACCCAGACTCGGCACTGCCTACCTTAAAAATGGGACAGGACGGGGCACCTGGGTGGCTCAGTGGGTTAAAGCCTCTGCCTTCAGCTCAGATCATGATCTCAGGGTCCTGGGATCGAGGCTCTCTGCTCGGCGGGGAACCTGCTTCCCCCGTCCCACAGCCTGCCTCTCTGCCTACTTGTGATCTCTGTCTGTCAAATAAATAAATAAAATCTTAAAAAAGAAAAAGGGACAGGAGGACCAGACGCCCATCAAGAAGGACTGGCCAAATAAATACAGGCAGAAAGAGAGAGAGAGAGAGAGCCTTATATACCAGGATGGAGTGATTGTCGACATAAGCCGCTAAGTAAAAATAAAAGAGCACAGTTGCTCGTACGAATCTCTGGTGTGTGCGGTAAATAAATCTAGCAAGACACAAGGAACTGCTATGCTGATTGTCTTCTGGAGGAAGCTGGGGGAGGGGGAGACAGCCAAGGGAAGTAGACTGTACAACCTTCTGTATCTTCTGGATTTTGAATTAAGACACTGTATTACCTGTTCATATTCAAAAACCACATTTTTTATAAAGCGAGTGACAGAGAATCTCCTTGTTCAACCCTCTTAAATGTGATGAAACAGACTCCCACTGAGCGTCCAGGCTGTGCCAAGCCCCTGGTGGGGGCTGTGGGTTATGCCACGATGAGCAGGACGCTACCTCCAACCACCAGGGCTCACTTACCCCAGGTAACCCCGGCCCCCCAGGCTTGGGGAGGGGGGATAAGTGACCACTGGACTCCCACAGCTTCTCACTGTTCCGCACTTGCCAGGATCCCCGGCCACCTTATGCTGTGAGCCTCAGTGGGTGAGGGGCGAGGGTTCCTCCCAGGGCCCGCCTCTGTGTGCCCCATGACCACGGGGCAGTCTGAGCCAAAACTCCTCCAGGCCACACTGCTCCTTCCTGGCAGAGGCTGGGGTGGGGCGGTGGGGAGGTGAGGAGCCTGAGCTGCCCCCCTTCTGTATTTTGATGGAAAGACATTCCCTTTCTTCTTGGGCTACGAGTTTCACTGCCTTGTAACAAAACGGCCGTTGCCGTCGGGGTCAAATAAGCATAGAGCTGTGAGCTCTCAGATAGTTTGAACCTAGGTGGGAGAGTGAGTGGGTCCAGAGTGGAGCGTGGCCTCCCTCCCCTGTCTCTTTCCCCGAATTGGCCCCACATCCCCCCCCCACCCCGTCAAGCTTCCCCAGCCCCACTCCTAGGAGCCAGCAGCAGCAGCAGCCGCCAACATATCCTGACTTTTCACCACCATTTTGTCCTCATGGGAAGAGATCAATGCCTCCCTTGGGGTAAAGCTATGCCAGGTGGGGTCTCCAAGACTTGAAGAGTGGAAGCTCTTTCTGGAAGAGTCTCAGGTCAGCGTCTGGCTCTATGAAACCAGTGAACCACAAAATGTTCTCCCATCTGATGTTTCCAATGACCCTTGAGTTATCCCGCATGTGCCCTGGACAGGACATGGGTCATTGCCTTAGATCCACTCACCAACCAGCTAGAGTAGCAGAACTGAGATGTGAGCCCAGGGTCTTGACCCCACATCTCAGGCTCTCTTCACACTAGGGCTGGAGGAGAACTCCGAGGTCACCTAGCACAACCTCATATTTTCAGATGAGGAACCGAGGCCAGAGGGGGAGAGAGGCATCTGCAAGGTCACACAGCGTGTAGAAGGCAAGGACACAGCCCCCTGTCTCCCACTCTAGAGGCGGTTTTGTCCTCTGCCGAGCAGATGAGAAAGGCAGCTTGGCTGGGAGAACCTGCCACCTTCGCCCTTACAGCATCCTCGATTTGCCCCGACTCACTTCGTTTCTCAGTTGCTGACCCTCGACCAGGGCTTATGACCTCAAACATCTCCCGGAACAGGCAGGGAAGTAATTAAGAGAGGTCATCTAGCCTGTTGACTCTACGATAAGACAGCACCAAAGGATGGTGATTGTCTTCAACTGGGACGTGTTTTCTCTGCCTAAAAGCTTCAAATCCCACTTCTGAAAATATCAATGCTTTGGGGTGACCGGTGGCTCAGTCTGTTGACTGTCAGACTCTTGGTCATGATCTCAGGGTCATGGGATCTCCGGGTCATGGGATCAAGCCCTGCTTGGGATTCCTTCCCCCTCCTTCTCCCTCCCCTCTGCACCTCTCCCAGCTCACATTCTCTCTCTAGAATAAATAAAATCTTTGAAAAAAACCAAGGTTTAAAAATATTCTAGTGGGTTTTGTGGAGTGGGAGGCATGGATAGACCAAGATGGGCCATGAGTTAGTGATTGTGGAAGCGTGCTGTTGGGTATATTGGACTATTAATACTATTATGTAATATGTATTGTGTATTGAAACTATTGTGTAATATGTAAATGCATATGGGTTTTCAATTTGCCATAATACAAAGTTTTTTTTTTGCTAATGAGCTATCAAAATACATGTTGGGTTCTCAAGCCATTCTAGATCCACAGGCCACCAATTAGCAAACTCTACTCTTGAGATTCCAGAATATTCCCCTAGCCATCTGTATGCTTCATTTAGATTCTCTCTGCAGAGCCTAGGACAAGGCAGAGGGAGGGAGGGAAGGAGAAACAATGACTTGACAGGGCTTGGAGCCGGTCATCATCAAGGAGCACAGACTCTGGGATGTGGATGGAACCCCATGAAAATGGAAGCAAGTCACACACACACACACACACACACACACACACACCTGCACTATCTATCTCCACCCTTCTCTCCCCCGCTCACCCTCTCTGTGCCTCCTTTATCTTGCTTATCTTTCTTGAACTCCCTTACCACCTGGCACCCTAAGGAAACCAAGCAAGTCTAGGGACTGATGGGCTTGGTCTGCAGGAGGAAACCTATCCCATCTGGATGAAAACCAAAATTCATGAGTAGCCTGGCACATCCAGGGCTAATGTGGGTCTAGAATTGTGCTGACTTCCAGCAAGACCTTCCCAGCAGAGTGTGGAAGGCATGAGCTTTAGGGGAAAACGGGATAGGGAGAGAAGTGTTTTTTTTTGTTGTTTTTTTTTTCTTTCTCCATTACTTAGGCTGATTCCCGGGCACATCCCAAACATCTTCCTGGTTTCTAAAACTCCCCCCCTACCACCACCACCATTTATGATATCATCGAACCCTCCCAACCCTGGGAGGCAGGTGTCTTCCCCATTGTGGAGATGAGGACACAGAGCCTCCACCTGATCTGGGGACCTGCCCAACACAGCACAGCTTCTAAGTGGCAGAGCCCAGGGCCATGGATCTTAATGTCAGGGTTCCTTCCTCTACCCCAGATTGGAGGCGGGTGGAGGCAGCTCACTGTCACTAGACTCCATGGCTCTATCTGGGATGACAAAAAAAGTAAACACTGAGTTTTCTAAGTAGTTGCCTGGGGCAGCAGGAAGTTTTGCTGGGCACTACTTATCTGCAAATGTGTTGTGGCTTTTTAATTAAGGGAGATTGTGGGAGAGTGATGGTCTTGCTTGAAATGGTCTTCTGGGATGATGTGGAGAGGGGGCATTTAGATTGCCTCATGTACTGTGTGAGGACCATACAGCCCTGGATCTCTCTTGAGCGTGAGATTATGGAGAAATTGAAAGATGACACTGATATTGTTCACGTGAGCTAGGGACAGAGACTTCAGGTCTTACATCAAATCTTCATTCTGTCTGCCTGTGCTGTGTGACTCCCAGGCCAGACTCGTCCCTCTCTGGTCCTCGAGCATCCCTCAGGCAGCAAAATCAAAACCATCTCCCTGGCAGTTCACTGCCCAGCAAGACCCCACTCCCTTGGAACCCTCCCAGAGGAGGTAAGAAGGGCAGGGTGGTCACTGTTCAGAGGAAATAACCCACACCCCTCACTGGTTTGGGAATGTAACACCAGGGAGGTGATAGGCATCAGAAGCCCGGCAATGGTGAGGAGGAGGAATGGGACAGGCTGGGGCCGGACCCAGTTACGCAGCTCTGGCCTGTACAGAGCTTGCTTTTCATGCCTTCTTCCTCTGTTAATTTGGCTTGTTTTCCAAACGTGGGTCCAACCATCTCCCCCCAGAAGCAACAGCGGCAGAAGGAAATGTTATTAAAAACGAGTCCGTTAGTGGCCATGGTGTGTGGATGGAGTCTCTGGGAGTTTTGGCTGCCAAATAAAGACTTTATTGTTGTCATTCCTCCTTTCCCAAGCTCCCTCCCTCCCTTCCCCCCTCCTCCCTCCCTCCCTTCCCTCCTCCTTCTCCTCCCTCCCTACAATCTGCCTGTCCCTCCCCCTAACCTAACCTCCCCACCCCACTAGGATCTGGTAGAAGAAAAGTCAGGCAAACACGAGCACGCAGGCACCACTGGGAGATCAGAACTTCTAGCTGGCTCTCTGCTGCCACAGCTCCACCGAAAGGGTTGGGGAGGAAGAGGGGGAGCCCTGCCGGGGGACTAAGCCCACAACTGAGAGGAGAGGCAGGTGTTTGCAGGTAAGCCAAGTGGGGAGATGGGGGGGAGACCCCTTCCTCCAGCAGGTTTCCTCCTATCTATCTATCTATCTATCTATCTATCCCACTGACCTTGCTGATCTTGTCTCCATCTCCCCTACCTCCCTCCCTTCTTTCTTTCCTTCCTTCCTTCCTTCCTTCCTTCCCTCCTCCCACCTTGTCTCCTCTTGATGTAGGAAAGACACCTTTCAGATGAGCTCCAGTAAGGCTTCCACATTTCTTCTGAGCCCTCCTCCTCTACCTTCTCTCCCTCACTCTGCCCATGTATTTGCTCCATGCAGAAGTTCAACATTCTTGGTTCAGAGGTTTGCTGCAGCACAGGGAATTAAGCTGAGCACAGTAGTCCTACACAGCAGGTGTTTCTATGGAAACCTGACTCTAGAACCCATTTCTTCGCACCTTTCACATATCGTCACACACCGCCACCGGGGCGCACACCAGTCACAGGGAGGCTGAATTTTCACTGCACACGCACACATAAATACACACACATGCAGTAGAAAGATGTCCTGTCCGTTCACCTCCACACTCGGCATCCCACATGCTGACCCGGAGCACGGAGACCAGCTGCCTGTAGACACACACATACACACACACACACACACACACACACTCCATCTTGTCTTTCACACTCTCACATGCTTCCCCAGCTGGAAGAGCAAAGAGAAAGTGCGTCTTCCCACTGAGATGGCAGAGCCAAAAGAAAATCCTGTGTCCTAAGCTGAGGCCGAGAGGAAGGAGATGAATCAGAGCAGGAGCTGGAAGGGGGTTTTTCATTCTTTAGAACTTAATTGGGTAGGAGGGAGAAAAAATGCCTTTCCAACCCGCACAGTATCTTCCCAGTAGCTCTGCCTTTCCCTCTCTGGTCCAAACCACTTGGCTTTTGGAAAGAAAGGGAGGAAAGCAACCCAGCTTCCAAGACTTGGAGGTCCGAATTCCCAGCTCTGGGGGTAGCTCATTTGTTTTTTTTTTTCCTGCAGGCAGCCAGAAAAGGCTTCACTTTAAAGCAATTTCAAAATCATCAGGCAAGGAAGCCTGTGGCAGAGGGCAAGAAGACAGTAATTCCTTAATCAGTGAGGAAGGGGAAAGCTAAAGTGGGTCATTGAATGGGGCTCCTTTCCAGGTAGCCCCTCCCTCCCCGCAACTTACTCAATTCTGCCACAGCAGCAAGAGTGTGTCCCAGGGCAGGTGGGTGGGCAGAGCGGGGTCGCCAAATATGTTTGATCTTCAAAATCACCTGGGGGCAAGGTGGGGGACCCGAGAGCTTACTAAAAATATAGATGTCTGGACCCGTCACTCCAGACCTTCCAGATGGAGCTCAGGAATCTCCTGTTTAATGCTTGAGGGGTTCCTGACGGTCAGTCAGGGTTTGAGAACCTGAGGCAGGGGCCTGAGAGAGACCTGAGCTGGGAATGAAGAGCCCAGGACTCAGGGCAGTGTTAGCTGGGCGGGAGAGCTGTGTGGTCTCCTGGACAAGAGCCGTCTGGCAGAGGACCTCCAGAGTGTCCCACATGGGCCACTGTCTTCTGGGGCATGGGAACAAGCTCCTGGAGGAATAGGGAAGATCTGCTGTGGGCTCTCCCCTCCTTCCCTGCAAGCACCGGCAACCACATCCTAGGGAACATCCCAGAAAGTTCCCCCAAGATAGCTCCAAAGAGCTTGTTTCCTCTCACTTGCTAATGCACCTGCCCTGGGCACTGGACTGGGCCTTTCCCCATCCCTCCTAGATCTCCTCTCCCCCTGCCCCACAGTTGTCTGTCCTGATGTGCTCAGAGCCAGGACAGGCTCTGCACTCCTCCACCCCTTCCCCGGTGGGCAGCCCCATTTCCTGAGCAGGTGAGGGAAGACTGTCAAGGCTGGAAGGGGCAAAAAAGCCAGGTGCAAAAGGTTGGGAGGGGAAGTCAGAGATCACAGGGGGCCCCAGAGCCAGCTAAGGAGGTGAGACTGAGCCTTCCCTGGCCGGCATCCCCACAACTGAAAAGACAAAGTGAGCCTTCCCCCCCACCCCAGGTGACTGGGGGCTTCTGTGGTCTCTCCAGATAGTTGGTTCTAAGACCCATGTGTGGCATCACAGACCCCAAAGGGAGGACGCTGCTCTGTGTAGAAGAGCTGGGGGAGATCAGTACCCACCAGTCTCTGCCTTTGGGTGGAGGGCAGGGGTGCCCTCTGGCTAAGCCAGAGGGAAAGAGACTCAGTTACTTTGAAAATACGCCCACAGCAGCTTAATGTTCACTGAGCACTCACTTTAAACACATTTGCTCATTTAATTCTCAGAACAATCTGACAGGAAGCTGTTAATACACCCACTTTACAGAAGGGGACAATGGAGCTCAGCAGAGGGAGGTTTGCGCCAGCGGATCCAGCAACAGGAGACTTGCAGGGTTGGGACCCGGCTCTATGAGTGCTCAAGGCATCAGACAGATTCTTCGAGGCTTTCTTCAGGGGTGAGGGATGCTGGGGGATGGAGGCAGGACCAAGGGTACAGTGAGGCACCAGGCTGTCAGAGGACAGCCCTCTCCCCCTGCTCCGTTCCTAGCCCCTCAGAATGGAAGACTTGCTCTTCTGGACTAGTGGCCTCAGGCCAAAAAAACTTCATTCTGTTTACACTTTGCCTTGTGGTAGACGCTGAGGAGACAGATGGTCTCTCCATAATAGTGTTATATTTATTTTTAGTATTTCTTGATCTGTGGTTCATTTTAAAGTCGCTTATCACACTTGATTCTGACAACAACTGGGTGAGGAATGTAGGGATAGGAAAATGTGTTATCCCCGTTTTACGGGTAAGGAAACTGAGGCTGAAGACAGGGTCACGTAACTAGGTAGCGGAAGATGGGCCAAGAACCCTCCCCCCAGGTCTGGTATCCCCACTGTCCCAGGCAGCTCACCCTTACACTGACTCACCCCCAGGAAAGGGACGGCTGCATCAATAGTGTTGAATTCATCATTGCCTCCATATCAGCCCGTTCGTTCCCTGAGGACCACATGAGCCCTACCTGGAGGGGCTCAGGCAGCCTGGAGGGGAAGGCGGCCTGTCTCAACTCCTCTGCTAGCAAATGACCCCCTGATTCTCCTGGCTTCCAGCCTCCTTCTAGGCTTCTGGAAGAGATAAAGGGAGCCGGACAGCTTTCAGAAGTCTGGGTGTAGAACAGAAAGAAGGGACAAAGAAAGAGGGTCACCCCAGTGTCCATGACTGTGGCTCTGGGGCCAGGGACAGCCCCTTTCTCCACAGCGGGGTGACTGGCTGAGTTAAGCCATGGAGGCTTAGAGATGACCAACTAGGCAGGAAATCTGGCAAGAACAAGACTGCCAGTGAGTACAGCTGATCCTTGGAAAAGCACAGGGGTTGGGGTGCCAACCCCCACAACACAGTCGAAAATCTGCATGTAACTGTTGCTTCCCCCCAGACTTAAGTACTGATAGCCTACCAGTGACCAGAAGGTTCACAGTGGATTAACACATATTTCGTATGCTAATACTGCATTCTTAAAATAAGGTAAGCTAGAGAAAAGAAATGCGATGTGAAAAGTCATAAGGTAGAGAAAACACGTTTATAGGACTGTACATGCATGTACTGAAAAATGTCTGCGTGTGAGTGGACCCACGATGTTCAAACCCTTGAGGTTGAAGAGTCAACTGGAGTGTGGAGTAATCCGCCTTCAACCCCCAGGGGAGACACGCCCGACCTTCCTCCCAGCCCAGCCCCAATCCCACACTCTCCAAGTAAAGCCAATCACCCTTAAACTTGCCCGTACGGATGTGACAAACCCACGTGAACTTCAGCCCAGCCCTGCCCGGAGCCTCAGCGTTGCGCTAGTCTTGGGCGTTCGAGCCTCAAATGAATGAACTCATGAGCCAGGCAGGGATGAGGGCCAGTTCCCTTTAAGTCAGTCTCCCTAAAGAACCGGCTCTTTTATAAATAAATAGGTGAAGAGAGGAACCCCCTGCCCCTGGTGGAGATTTTCTGCTCTACAGCATGCCTTCATGCGAGTGAGTGATCTCATTTCGTCCTGGTCCTCGCACAAATGATGAGATGGGGGAGGAGGGTCAGAGCCAGGATGCGAGCCCAGATCTCCAATACTTGGAACAGAAATTCCAGCAAGAACTCTCGCAGGAAATGTTCCCAAGCGAAAGAGTGGGTGTTGGCTTGGGCTTTGCCCCCGTGAAATAGCAGCTCTCTTGAGCTGGTGCTGGGGCACGGAACTGTGGGTGCTGGGGCACGGGAGCCCGGCCACGGAGTGGGGAGCACTGCCCGGCGAGAAAGCTGGGGCTGGGGAGGTGTGCCTACAAGAGTGCACGAAATTTAGAAATCGTACCCACTCCTGACCCACCCCAAGGGTGTTTATGATTGGACGGAAGGCTCTGGAAGGCAGGAGAAGAAAGTGTGACTTCGGGCTTCGGAGTCCAGGGGCCTCCACCCTGTCACACAGATTCTGCTTTCGGGGACTTGGGACCTCGCTGAGGACCGCGGGGAGCAAGGGCTGCGGTCAGGACCTCCGCCTCTGGACACTCGGGCTCCAGCAGGAAGAGGCGTTGCCCAGTGTAAAGAGCCTTAGAAATGAACTCTGTTTTCTCAAGAAAGAAGCATGGAGACACACACACACACAGTAGAGAGTGGTTGAGCCCTGGGGCTTAGAAGGGGAACTGAGCAGAGGCAGTGTTTCTCCATGGAACAAGCACAGAGAACTTTTCCTCCGAACCCTCCTCGTGGCTCTGAGAGGAGCTTGGCCAGCCTCAGAGGTTTGGAATGTAGAAAGGTCAGACAGTGGGTTGGGGGTTGGGGCCTGGGGGTGAGGGGAAGATAAGAGAAGTTCTGGAAGGGTCTGACGCAGGAGCTGGGGATGGGGAAGACTTGTGCTCACTGTGGTTGGAAGGAGCACTGTCCCTCCTGACCACGAGCCCCTTGGGGACACCCGTGAGCAAAGGCCAGCTGCCCAGTCCCGGAGCCCCACAGAGGGGCCTTTGCTGGATGCTCTGGACAAGTTTTACTTGCTTAACTCAAGGTCTGATACCTGGTAGATGCTTCTGGTGACAAAGGCAGGGAAAGGAAATAGGGAAGCCCGCAGCCAGGGCGGGGGAACCTCCCTGAAGCAGCGCTTCCCATCCCGAGGGACCTCTGGCTTATCTCCGGCTCCCAGGTAATCAGAAAATAAAGAAATGCTGGAACAAATAGGGCCACAAAAATTGGGGCTTTTAAAAATGTTTGCATTCCGCATACTAATCTTTAACCACCCCTTTAAAGGGCATATGACTGTGCTATCTTCAAGAAAATTATAGGACTTACGAAATATTAATTCATAGTTCACCAATCCTAAGTGGTGAACTCGAGTTTACAATGGTTGTCTGTTCTTTTCAGGCCTGTGGGACTGTTGGATCCTCAGCTGGAGGTAAAGCCAAGAATCTAACTGCACGGTTCTTCTTCGTGACAGGAGGCCCAGGGAAATGACCCTCGTGGACCCCCTTGGAGAGGCCCGCCTGGGGAGGGACCCCCTAAATGGGAAATGGAGAAGTAACAGAGGCCACAGGCAATATCTTCCCCCCTCCCTCCCTCTCTCCTCTCCCTCCCTCCTTTCCTCCCTTCCTCTTCCCCTCCTTCTCTCCCTCCCTCCTTCCTTCCCTCTCTCCCACTTTCCCTCATTCCCCCCTCCCTCTCATCCTCCTACCCCCCTCCTTCCCTCCTTCCTACCTTCTCTCTCCTTCCCCCTCTTCTTTCTCTCCTTCCCTCCCTTCCTCCCCCTTCCTCTTTGCCTCCCTCTTTCCCTCCTACCCTCCCTCCCATTCTTAGAGTACTGTGTAAGGACTCACACATACACACAGTGAACATGTGAACATGAACTTGGTTATGTGTGTGGTGCAGGGAGGTGTGTGTGTGTGTGTGTGGTGTGTGTGTGTGCGTGCGTGCACGACAGAGAGCGAGCAGGGTAGGCATGAAGGTCATGTGTGAAAGGGGCAGGGAGACACCCTCTACTCCCTGGGGTTGTGCTCTGCCCTCTCTCACCTTCAGACTAAGCCTCTGGTGAGCAGTTTCTAGCATCTTCCTTTGAGCAAAGCCAGCAAGAAGCATCCAAGGGAGGCCTGTAAGCTCATGTGGGCTCAAAGGAAATCCAGTGAGAGGCCCGGCCCAGGGGCAAAATGGCAGGGTCCAGATGCAGCTGGGGACACAACGTGGAGGCTCACCCTAGGTCAGAGAGCCTGTACCCCACCCCCCCCACCAGGCCTCCAGAAGGAGAGGGGCAGACACCACCTCCTGAGGTGGCAGCAAGGTGGGCCAGGGGAAGCAAGGTGGGAACAGAGACGACTGAAGGCCCCAGTGGGAGAGAGGGGGCAGGACAGCCAGGGGAGGTAGCTGGGGGACATGCCAGTCAGTGGGCAGCCCTGGTCCTCTCGCTGTTCTTCAAGCTTGATTCAACTCAACCCACGTGATCCCCTCTGAAGGCTCATCAGAGCCCCTGGGGAGCACAGCCCCAAAATAGCCCTTGGTGACCTATTCCGCTATGTCACGGGGGCCGGCAGGAAATTCTTCTTCATACCGTCTCAACACCAGCAGCTCCAGTGGATATGGGGGCGGCGAGACCGAGTCAGAAGAAATGAAAGTGATTTCCCCACAGCTTTTGATCCTTGCCCTGTTTATTTTCACAGGAGCCTCCACATCTGGGGAGAAATTCTTGGTGTGCCTCTGGCTGGCAAAGAGCAGCGTTCCCTGAGCCCGGGGTGGTGGTGGGCGGCGGGGAGCAAGCAGGGGCGGACCCAAGACGGGAGTGTGTCTACAGCATTTTCCTTTCTTTCCAGGACCTCCACAAGCCCTGCTCTGGAGTGCAGGAGACCCCCTGCCCAGGTTTTTGTCCCAGGTTTGCTGTTCAATAGCTTCCTTGCCTGGGCAAGCTGCTTCCTCCCTCCAGGACCCCCCATTTCTGTAAATTGTAGAATCTGGGTTTGAAGGGTGGATTTCAAATCATTTTTAGCAACACGGCTCTTCTTTCAAATACATGCTTTGGTCAAACCTCTCTACACAGCTGATTTAAAAATACAGAGTGGCTAAGGTTGGCACAGGGGCAAGCTGGGGATGTCCCAGGGCCGCCCACTCAGTCTCCCTCCCTCGGGGGACTCCACAGAACTGGGGGCACAGTCTGAAAACAACTGAATTGTGGGATCTCTAAGGCCCTTCCAGATGGACCGCTTAGGACCCTATGGCTCATGCCTCCTAACATCCCTCTTCTAGGAACAGGATGATTTGCTCACGCTGTAAGTGGGGAGACCAAGCACTTGAGAGGCTAAGGGTCTTCTCCAGCAAATCCCAGAGCTCCTGAGTCACAGCCGATGTGCCTTCTGCCAGGATGGCTCACCCTCACCAGAGCAGGCTAGATCTTTGGCTGGGGGTCCTGACCCTCAAGTCCATGTTATTTTCTTACTTGCTGGGTACAGGCAGACAAAGAGATGCTTTGACAGGTCTCTCCCACAGCCCCCCTGGGGCCCATCCTGGCCAACTCTTGTGCCAAGACAGGGCCTCTAATTCCAGAGGTCCAGCAGGCTAATAACTTCCTGTGTCTCCTCCCTGCAGGTGCATCACCTGGACCATGAGGTCATCCCTCTACTGGCTCCTCCCACTTCTCCTCATCTTGGCCTCGGTGGCCCAAGGCCAGCTGACAAGGCGACCAAGACCCAGGCCCAGGCCCAGACCCAGACCCAGGCCCACACCCAGCATTCCTCCGCCCCATGAGCCATCGGAGCCTACAGACCTGCCCCCTCCTCTCCCACCAGGCCCCCCTTCTATCTTCCCTGACTGCCCCCGGGAATGCTACTGCCCCCCGGATTTCCCGTCCGCTCTCTACTGTGACAGCCGCAACCTCCGGAAGGTCCCTGTCATCCCCCCCCGCATCCATTACCTCTACCTGCAGAACAACTTCATAACGGAGCTCCCCGTGGAGTCCTTCCAGAATGCCACCGGCCTGAGGTGGATCAACCTGGATAACAACCGGATTCGCAAGATAGACCAGAAGGTTCTGGAGAAACTGCCCAGTCTGATATTCCTCTACATGGAGAAGAACCAGCTCGAAGAAGTGCCCTCGGCCCTGCCCCGGCACCTGGAGCAGTTGAGGCTCAGCCAGAACCAGATCTCCAGAATCCCGCCTGGCGTCTTCAGCAAGCTAGACAGCTTGCTGCTCCTGGATCTCCAGCACAACAAGCTAAGCGACGGCGTCTTCAAGCCCGACACCTTCCAGGGCCTCAAGAACCTCATGCAGCTCAACCTGGCCCACAATATCCTGAGGAAGATGCCCCCCAAGGTGCCCACGGCCATTCACCAGCTCTACCTGGACAGCAACAGGATCGAGACCATCCCGAACGGCTACTTCAAGGGTTTCCCCAACCTTGCCTTCATTCGCCTGAACTACAACAGGCTGTCAGACCGGGGGCTCCCCAAGAATTCCTTCAACATCTCCAACCTGCTCGTGCTCCACCTGTCCCACAACAAGATCAGCAGCGTGCCCGCCATCAACAACAAGCTGGAGCACCTGTACCTCAACAACAACAGCATAGAGAGTGAGTGGGGGCAGGGCGGGGCCATGGCCATGGCCACGGCCTCAGTCAGGGAAGTGGAGACTCTTATTGCCTCAATCCCTTCTAGGAGCTTAGGGCGGGGGGGGGGGGGGGGGGGGAGAGCAAAAAAGCACCAAGTTTGGCACTGGACTTCAAATCTTTACCTTGCTAGTTACTGTCTGTGTGACCTTGGACAGATATTTCCCCTCTCTGGGAAGTTTTCTCACCTGTAAAATGAGAATGGGAATAATACCTTCTGTCACAAAGTTGATATGAAGATTTAATAGGTTACTATGGACCAAGTACCCAGAATACCATGTTTGGAGGGTAACAGCTCTTCCTCCCCGTCCTTTCTCACTAGCCCCAGCTTCTCTGCCCTCCAGATCTACCGGTAAGGTAGACATAGAACGTGGTCTCAAACATTCTCGTGAAAGCAAAACAGTGACATGTTCTGAATGTCACTTCTCTGAAATGTCCTGGGCCTGTCTCCTGCACAAGCTGGCAGCTGGGAGAGGAAGACTGAGGCTAGGTTTTGAAGAATCTTAAAAATATGTACATAGCAAGGCAGCTATGTACTCGGGATAGGCAGCTGGTAAAGACGTGGCAGCCAGAAGAGCATGCCAGTGCTCTGGTGCTTTCTGAATTTAGCTGGAAGGCCAGACTACTTAATCACATAAGATAGCACATTTCAGGCAGAATTTGCCCAAGATAAATCCATATAGGGTCCTGGGCTAGGGGTAAAAATTGCAGCCCGGAAGCAGAGGCTAGAAGTCCCAGCTTTTCTTTGATCAACAATGTCAGCTCTGAGCAGAGTATTGACAGAACGCTTTAAAAGCAAGAGAGAATATTATCTGGTCCTTGAACTAAACCAGGCTCCATCCACACCAGGAATGTAGCAGCAGTAGGGTTGAAGGGGATAGTGGAAAGGGCAGCACCCCTAAGAGAACATTAGGAATCCTTCGTTTCCAAGCCAAAGAATGAGAGGGAGATTGTTGAATTTCTAGAATCTTGAAACAAATGAACAGGTTCATTCACTCATCTGGGATAATTACGGGAAGTAGGGGAGGGCTTTTTTTGAAGCTTGCAAAAAACAAATTCAGGAAAAGGGGAAACTGTTTAATTTTATCCTGCAGGTCGTAAACTGATGGAATGCGTTACCCCAAAAGCTAGATAGGCCGAAAATCCAGGCAGAATGGCCAGCAGTCTCTCTCAGGGTGTGGAAGGGCAGGCTGCTAGGGGACATCCAGCCCTTGGAGGCCGAAGTCAGAAAAATCACACTCCCTCCACCTGTCTCCTCTGTGCCCAGCCTATCTCCAGTGTCACCAACGGACAGAGAGGGTGGAGCCCAGCCCTAGGTCAGTGTGATAGCCATGTTCTCAGCAATGACTTCATGCTGCTTCTGGCCCTGTCCTTGACAGTCTGCACAATGCCTTTGCCAATATCCTCTAACCTGGAGTGACAGGCAGGTACCACTCTCACCACTTCACAGATTTGGGAACTGAGTGTCAGGGTGGTAGGTCACAGTCCAAAGTCACAGTGGTCATGCAAAAAAAAAAATCCACTGATTTTCTGCTACTCCAATGATGAAGAGAGAGGAAGAAGGAGACCAAGTAGAAGAGTGTCACTAACAACAACGCTGACCCTACAGATGATAAAAGAAGCAAGATTTAGGGGGAAGAAGAAACTCATCCAGAAGATGACAAACCTGCTGTCACCTCATCAGAGGCAAAGGAGACAGTGGAATCTTGTTTTCCATTTGAAAGCCTACCACGGGGCTGACCTGTCCCGCTTATCTCCCTAGGATATCTGTCTGTGCTAGTTACTACTCCCGGATTCCACCATGACCTTCGCTGCCTCTACAACTTCCTTCCAATTGGGAGGTCACTCTAGCGGAACCCCATCCCCCACATCTCCACCCGCTGTGGTCCCACGCATCTCTGAAAGTCCAGCTCCCTGCTGACTTCCTCCATGACTCTACTGAGTGGATTTCCAACAACAATGGTTGATTGGTTCTGACTTAATTGATTCTAAAGTAAAGTGAGCCTGTGGGTGGGTAGGGTTGACTCACCCTTGGTCACACGTTCTCCAGGTCAGCCAATTCCAGAGAAGAGCACTCCAGTTCTTATCCTCAGCAGCCCACCCCCTTCTCCTTCCTCATCTTTGCCTCCAGCCTTGTCTGTCCCTATCCCCCGCCCACGTACCTGCTGACCTCTCCCTTCTTTCTCCACAGAGATCAATGGGACCCAGATTTGCCCCAACAATCTAGTTGCCTTCCATGACTTCTCCTCGGATCTGGAGAACGTGCCACACCTCCGCTACCTGAGGCTGGACGGGAACCATCTGAAGCCACCCATCCCACTGGACCTCATGATGTGCTTCCGTCTGCTGCAGTCCGTGGTCATTTAGGCCTTACTCTGCCTCTTGGATCGCCTCTGACGGCACTTGAATGCTGGTGACCCCGGTGCCTGTGCCCACCATTCATGTCCTCTATCCTCCTTTCTCATTCCCAGCTTTGCCTTTCTTCTCCCATCTTCCCGAGGCAGGGACTAGCCACGTGCTCTGCTGCTCCTGAGGCTTTTAGAGCAAGACTTCTAAGGGCTTGATTTGGTTCACCCAGCTCAAGGACACCGACTGCACACCCGCACTTCTGGCCCCAGCAGCACAGAGCTGTGCCCAAAGACAACCTCTTCTCTCCTCCTCCTCTACCCTGACACTCCTGGGTAAGTCGGGACCATGGGCTAACATCTGGAACTTGGTCCCGACCAAAGCAAGTAGAAGGTGGTCAGAACAGCCCAGAGGTGAGGTCTGGAAAGTCCTGCTGGAGACTCCAACATCATGGGCAGCTCTGGCCCCGACAGACCCCTTAGCCACGGATCCTGCCTTCCAAAAATGCTGCTCTGCCGCCCTGTTCGCTGGCACCAGACGTTGTGCTGGCTCTTTACCAGCCCATGTTCTCCAGCAAGGAAGTGCAAAGGAAGGGCTGAAAGAGGGTGGAGGGTCAGGGTTCCCACAGGGGCCTGCCTCGGGCAGTTTCTTCACAGGACCGGCTCGGACCCTTCCAAGCACACGCCCTCCTGGCTGGGCCTCTATCTCAAGAGTAAGAGCAGGGAGTCAAGGAGAAGAATAGTTCCAGGAACTTGGAATCAGCTAGTAGGAGAGGGGTGGGAGTCAGAGCCGCGGGGTTGGGCCCCTGTGGGTACGGATGGGGCCTGCTGCCCCCTTGCCGGTCTGATGCCCTGGGCCCCTCGGGTGTCCATAGGGTCTGGTGCCACCAGCCCCACCCCACCATCTGTTCTCAATCAGTGTGATGGCCCAATCCTGTCCAAAGCCCGGAAGCAGTTCATGAGAAAGTGTTCTGGAAAGGGCGGAGCCCCGGAAATCTCCCAGAAGCATAGATGGACTTCCCCACGCTAAGGCAGGCACATCAGTGACACCTGGTGGCTGGTGCAGGTCCCAGCTGGCTCCTGTCTTCCTCACCTCTCTTTGGGTTGGTTGTACAAGGTCAAGGAGCTGGCCTCAGGTTCCAACTTGAAAAGCCATGGGCCATGCGCACAGTTGCTCCTCTGGGATGTAAAGGATGCAAAGTGACAGAGGCCTTGAGGCCAGGGACTGATGTCCACCATGAGTGAGCACAAGTGGGAACCTTCAGGAACCCAGGTGAGGATGTGGTTTGTTCCTGTTTGCTGTCTGACCTTGCGGGTCCCTTCTGCCCACAGCATAAGATGCCCCGCCCAGGTCCCTCCAACATTCACGGTCTAGTCCGAGGCTCCACTCTTTAAACCGTGCTCTGGTTATCTCTTATCCCTGCCTCTCGCAGTAATTTATTCCCTATATGGACTGTCCCTCCCCCTTGAAAATCCCCTCCCCTCTGCCTGGGCCAGGTGAGTGGCTTGGCTGGCCTCCAAGCAGAGCCTGGGCCCCACAGGGCTCACTCACCTTCCCCCTCTCCTTCATTCCTCTAGTAGACGCTGCCCTTCCACAACTCTCTAGTGTGTATGGCTGGCGGGGGCTGAGGGGAGGGGAGTGGGGGAAGGGAGTGGAAATTCTAGAAACAAGTAGGACACATGCCCAGCCTCATTAGGCTGAGAAAAGTTCCAGAGATTTTTAACAAATTGGATTAAGCTAGGTCCCTAACTTCAAGAAATTCCCATTATAGTCTATCTCACCTTTCTCTTTAGCTCATTTACAGAATACATGGCCCACTTCCTCTTAGCCTCCTTCCCTCATTCTCCCATATAACTGCCCCGTCTTTCCTAGCTGCCGCTGGTTTCTCCAAGGCTCCTGCTTAAAGTCAATATATTACCGTGGCTGTAAGCAACCCGGTGCTAAGGCCTGGATAAGCCCCGCTTCTGCCCTGCCCTCACCCCTCACAACATCTGCCCCTCGGAGGAGGCCCTCAGGGGAGCGTGGTGCCTGTGGTCCCCCTGGGGACAGGGGACATTTCGGCTCATGCAAACCTAAACTTTTGTTTCAGCAGCAAAACCATCCCCATCATCCCATTAACCCCATGTAGATGGAGTCTCTTTCCTCCATTGCTCCCTGCAGCTGTATGCTAGAGGGGATTTGGGTGAAATTGCCTTTAAGCGATACTCCATCCCCACCCCAACACACACACACACACACACACAATGTGCTGACCTCCCGCGGATTTCAGGAAGCCCCTCCTCCATACACAAGTTCATTCTTCCAGTGCCACCGACACCTACGTACACAGGTGTGTGAGTAGATGTGTGGGTTACTCTACATATATCTGTTCCTTCTTCAAAACCATGATAACCTTGTGAAACAACTTTTACACTCCAACACGCTTCACAGCAGAGGAAATAAAGGAATATGAAAAATCTCCTCCTTGAACTTGACCACGTGAACAAGTCAAGACTACCTTGAAGTGCTCTCGCCTTCTCCCACCCCCACCCCGCCCACCTCCCCACCTCTTACCTGGTTCCAAGAGATGGGTGGAGAAAGGATCCCATTCCTAAGAAACTCTTAAGAAAACAATTCCAAAGCCTTCTCTTGGCAAATTTCCCCCAAACTCACAACCGTCATGAAAAATTGTTCCGAAAGTCAGATCAGAAATCCGATAGCTGCATTTGAAGCCCAGAGGCTCAGATTCCTTCAAACCACAGAAAGCAAATTGTTGAGGGTCTCCCAAATGCTCAGTCTGGGGCCAGGTACTGAAAGACACAGAACAGTCACAGTTCCCCCACCAAGGGCCACTGACAGGCTAGTGGCGTAGCTGCGGGTAAGGAAGACAAACCAGAGGCAGAGCTGTACCGGGGCGAAGAACAAAGGTTCTCCAGGCTGCACAGAAGGGTGTGAACCGGGTGCCCGGAAGTCTGTCTTCAGACAGAAGGTGGATTCCGGAAGTGGGCTTGTGAGCTTCCCCTGCACACATAACCCTCCCCCCGCCCCGTTTTCTTTAGAACGAAAACTGTCAGATGCTCCCTGCCCCATCCACTCTGCCTCCTTAACACTTGCTTTAGTTCAGCTCAGCAGGTTTCAGTGGACCTCGACTGTGTGCGAGGTTCCCAGCTAAGAATTCAAGGGCAGTTAATATCCCGGTCCGTGCCCGTGAGGAATTCTCGGCCTGGGAAAGGGGAAAACCCATGGAGTGATCCCATGTCCTACGTGTTTGGAGTGATGCAGGGTTCAACGAGCATGGTGGAGAGGGCTTCTACCCCCGTGGAGGGATGCCAAGAATGGCTCCTATCATTTGAGCTGGATCTTCAGGGATGAATCAGATTTTGCCTGGTGGGGAAGAGGTGAGGGGAGGACAGAACCAGGAGGGGAAACAGCACGAGCCAAAAGGTAGGAAGGCATGGAGAAGCTCCTGAGGAAGGGAGAGGAATGTGTTCGGGTCACAGAGTTATGTGGCTACAGGCCCTCAGCAGGGAATATATCCCTGTTGTTCAAAAAGCAGGAGGGTTCCTGAAATTTCCATGCCCGCCCATGAAAGGGGCAGCAGCAGGGTCAGCTGGCCGGACTCCTGTCCCCACAGCCTGCCACCTCCTTTCCATCAGCACGCCTTGTGCTTCTCCTAATGAGCCCCGGGAATCAGCAGGGCCCCCGACCCTCCGGCCCCCTTGTGCCCACTGGCAGGGAGCTGAGCTGCACGCCACCACAGCCCGAGGGTTAGTGTGTTCTCACACAGGTCACACACACCTGCCACCGACCGTCCTGAACTCCACGGGAACTAGAGAGTGTGACCGGTGAGCTTGGAACGGAAAAGCACGAGTAGAATCTGGGAGAGGGTCCCAGATGAGACTACTGCATCGGAAGGGGCTCTTTACCAGGGTGCAGGGGGAGCCTATGCATGCACCCCAGGAGACTGGCTGTGCCTGTGGGGTCCAGAAGAGCTGAAAAAGCACATGGGGGAGGACCGATTGTAGGTGCGTGTCACCGAGAAAGTGGGGAGGGAGAGTGGGAGCAGGCGGCAGGGGGAATGAATGAACAGTCGCATTTGCTTTCCTTGCAGGGAATAAATGGCGTAGGATGGGAGGGAGAGCCAAGCACAGCCTGCCTTGGGGAACGGGGGTGGGGGAACTGTTAGGCTCTGCCTGCAGAGCCCAGGCTGTGGAGAGAAAGTCGGGGAGGACAGCGTGCCAAATGTACCATCTGCTTCCTGGGCATCCTGCTGTCTCCAGGGCTATCTCTCCCTCCCCCCTGCAGAGCCCCTGTTGGTGCCTCTCCCCAGATGGTGGGCTGCCAGGGGCATGGGAACCGGCATCCCTTTGGTGAGCAGGTCCTTGGGCTGGGGGATGCTGCCTCCTCACCAGCTGGTGCCCGGGAACATGGCAGACCATGCACTGTACCCTAGGCCAGGCTGGCAATCTGCCCCTTCCCCGGCTTTGCCAGGACAGAGATGAGTCCTGACAATGCCGTCTGTTTCCAGGGCATTGAGACACAAGATCTCCAAGCTGGGGTGGGCAGGGTGGAGGGGATCAGGTGAAAAGGGGCAGGATCATATGAACAAAGGACAGTGCTCAGGCCTTAGCCTCAGGAAATCTAGGCCCAGGCCCTGGCTCTGTGTGACCTTGGGTAAGTCACTGCACCTAGCTGGATCTCTAGTTTCTTGTCTGTTGATAAGCTGTTTGGACTAGATGATTTTCGGGGAGCTTCAAGGCCAGGATTCAGTATCTTGTGAGGGGGACGGAGCATTGAAGAACTCAGGTAAACACACAGCACCCACCCACCCCCCACCCAGCTCCTACCTTCACACCACAGGCACGGCACAAGGCATTGAGGAAAAGAGAATCTCTCTGACATAGACGGCTTTGGTGGGGCATGGGGAAGAGGATTCTTCTCAGCCTCCTGAGGAACCCACCCAATGGCTTCTGGGGTTCCTGATCAGGGCTCAACCTCAGCAGATGAGAAAATTTCTTGTATCCTCATTGCCACCATCATCATCATCATCATCATCGTTGGGAAACTTGAAGTTGGGCTTCGAATCCTACCTCATCCCCCATTCACCTTCTCTTGGGCCTGCCCCAGCCTTCAGCACCTCCCTCTGGTTATTTTTGTTCAGTCACAGTCCCATGTTGGGGTCCAGGTGGTGGGTGGCTGTGCGGTCACTGTGCCTTCACTCAGCCTCTTTGAATATTTGGATACCATCCAAAAAAAAAAAAAACTAGAGAGGCAAGCCCTGTCCACCCCCCTCCCCCGAGCGCTCCATCACCTGCCGCCCGCTCCCCTAGAAAGAAGAACCTGCCGGCCCTCTCAACGGTGGTTCCGAAAAGAGAAAAGCAGCAGACAGAGAAAGAGGAGAGGTGAGGGTGGGAGGTGGGGAGGGGTATGGCTGGGCGGGGAGTGGAGCCAGTGGAGAGAGAGAGAGAGAACTCTCTCTCACCAAACAGAACACAGGGATGAGGGACCCGCTGAGCAAAGAGGAGGGGGAGCAGCAGGACACCAGGAAGAAGAGAAGTCTGACTGGTCACATGCCCCCTTGGCCAGCTCCCCACCCAACCCTGGCCCACTGCAGATGACCTTGCCACCAGAGTCCCCACTTCTCTGGAAGCTGTGAGGTTCTGCTCTGCAACAAGAATAAGCGCGGGGTAAGGTTCGCGGTTTGAGGGGTGTTGGGCTTATTGGTATGGAAATGAGGGGCTAGGGTGCAGTCCAGTGACCAGCTTGGGCTGGAGGAGAACGGAGGGAATTTAGGACTCCAGGCTAGAGAAGCTGGAGGGTGGGAGAGCGGGGAGGCTCTGACGGAGAGCTCATTCTTGCTGCTGCAAAGGGCTTACCTCTAGCCCAGCGAAAATGAACAGAGGGGGAGAATCTGCTAGGCTCTTCCGTAGCCGGCTTTGGGGAGGGCTACACCATGGGCGACGCATCAGATTCCTCACACCCACGCCGCACACACTCCTTCCCTGGTCTGTGCACACGTGCATACACTTACACACGCTCATCCCGTGCTCACACGCTCATCACGCACGTTCAGAATCACCTGGGCACATGCGCAGACACCCAGGGAACGCTCTAGATGCGGACACACTCACTCCCACAGCTACCTACAAAGAACGCTTTCATTTCTGCAGTCATTTGTTTCTGAAAAGCTGCATTTAGAAAGTGTATTTTGTAAACCGACATCCTTTTTTAGATCATATGTCCGTTTTTAAACCCATGTGCTCCGAGGGCACTAGGTGTGCCCTGTTTTTTTCTGCACCCCCAGAGGTAAGTCCAGTGCCTGGGACATAATAGACACCCCATGAATGTTTGTTGAGCAAAGGGGTGACAGAATGCATAATCTCTTAAAAGCACAAGGCTCCTTGATGACGAAGTTTCTCTAAATCTGGCTTAGTGACTAACGGCAGTACTTGGTGTGTGTGGTTGTGCGCGATGAGTAAACGAGCCTTCACCGGGTGTCTACACACGCCTGTGTGAGTGAGTAGAAGTGTGTGTGTGTGCAAAGCATGTGGGCACTAAAGTGGGGTGGCGGTGGGAGGGGCTGTCAGGGGACATAGCCCCCCACCCCCGACATAGCCCCAGCCTCAGGGGGCTTGCCAAGGCCGTGTATCAGGAAAGGCCTGAGTGCCGGTGTGGGGGCGGGCAGTGGGGCGAGTCTGGGGAAGAGATGGACGGACGGCTGTCCTTCCTCCTGCCCGCTCCGCAGGGCTGGACTCTGAGGTCATTCAGCTTCTCCTTATTTCAGCGGCCGCCTCCTCCAGGGGACCCCCATGAAGCCAACGGCTTTCCTGAGCCTGCTGGCTTTGGCGCTGCTGGGGACAGGGACTGCCTCTCTCCTGAAGGGGAGGAAGCGGAGAGAGCCGGCCGGGGAAGGCGATGCTTACGGGCTCCTGGGCAATTATGTCCTGGGCCTGGACAACTACGATGAGGTCATTGACCTGAGCGACTATGAGGGGCTCACGGACTATGGGGACCAGCTCCCCGAGGTAAGGGGCACACGGCAGACCAGCGGCGCTCCCCACAAGACACTGGGCGCCGGGGGCCTGGTTTCAAGCCTCCCCTTCTTCCTCCAGGAGGTAGAGATTCTTGTCCCTCTGGGGGAACTTGTCACTTAGATGATACTAAGAAAGAGGACAACAGGAGTCCAATTTCTTGGTTGGTTTGTAGTAAGCCTGGCGGTATTCACCCCCCCTTGAAAGTCCTATATCTGTCCCCCTGCCCCTAAGTCAGACCAGAATCCATAGCGCTGTGGGAGGGACGGGGTCAGCCATGTCTTCACACACTCGCTAGAAAAAGAAGCTCCGTGACCCTGTCTGCTCTCAGGCTATCTTCGAGTCTGAACTCCTTTCTCAGCCCTTTCTGGCCTTTGCAGGGGCTGATCCGAAGCCGGCACCCAGTAGCTCTGTGAGCTGGTCAGTGTGAGCTGGTCAGTGCTGGCCTGGGCTCTAGGCCTGGGCTCTCCAGAGATGTGGATTCTAGCTCTGGCCCAGCTGGGCGGCCAGCTGCCTGCTGGATCCCTTCGGCTCCCCTCTGCTGGCCCCCCTCTGCTGGCCGAGTCCCTTCTCCATATAAGGAAGACGCTGCATCAGCCCCACTTTAGGAAGTTGCCTTCCTCCCTCCCCCTTTCCCCACAGTGACTCTCTGCAAGTTTGAAACTGGTCACTGAGGCCCAGAGTTCACAGTAAAGTCCTTTTCAAGCAAAAACTGGCCTACTGTGTGCTGTGTGCTCTGTCCCCAGGTCAAAGTGACCAGCCCGGCTCCTCCAACCAGGGTCAGTTCTGCTCAGAGCACAGTGACTCCAAGGACACTCTCCTCCAAGCCCCCAATGAACAGGCTTACGACACTGGGCCTCCTGGACTCCCCAGGCAGCCATGGTGAGTTCACGGTCACAGGTCCCAGGGCACGTAGTTCATAGGCCATGCAGCCATGACCCAGCACCGGCCCAGCACCGGTGTGGTCAGGGTAGGGAGTGAAAGGGCAGGGCTAGCCCTCACTGTAAGGGAGAAGAGGAGAAATTGGCACGGTCAGAAAAGGAAGGAAGGACGGAAGGAAGGAAAGAAACTCAAAGGGAGAGGCTGGCTATCCCTAATGCTTTTGAGTGAATGTACAAATTGGATAGGAGGGGGGGAAAAATGCCAGCCCTCTGCTTGCCTAGCAGAGCTACCCTACCTTAATTAATAGCATCACTAGGGGACCAGGTTGAGTGGTAATTAGATTAGAGACAATTAAAAGCCTGTCGAGGAGAATAAATAACTTTGTGGCTGTCACTTGGCATGGGGGCAAGTGAAGCAGTCCTACTCCTTTTCAGCTCTAAATTCCCCCTTAGCAGCTCTTTCCCCTCCCTGATGCCCTCCTGGAGCCCAGGATGCTGGTGTATCTGGCAGTAAGGGGTTGGCACTCTGCTGGGGGTCAGGACTGGAGCAGAGGCGGGATGCAGTTAATTCCTAACTCGCGTGTCCCTGGCTCCCGTTCTCTTGAGATATTTGTCTTGGGTGGATCTAGGGTATTGGGGCATTGGTGGGAATCCGTGACCTCTCAGAGCTACAGGATCTCGGGCTTAAAGAGACCATAAAGGGCCTCAGCCGGATCTGCCATTCAAGGCCTTGGGGTAAGAAGGATGCGGAGATCGTCTCTGCTCTGCCCACCCTGGTCCCTGCCTGCAAAGAAGAGCTGCCTCTTCCTCATGGGGCTGTGTCACTGCTAACTGACCTCCCCCTTGAGTTGGATGGCCGATGGTCCACCATCATCTCTGTCCCTTGTAATGGTGAGTGATGGAAACCACCTATGCTCTTCAGTCAAATGAGCCAGGAAAGCCTCCCAACGTTTTGAAAACAGTTTGGCCCATGTCTAATGACCACCAGCCATGGAATGAGAACAGGAGAGAGATGTTGCCCAGCAGAAAACTGGGATGCTGATACCCTAAGAAGGGAAATGATTTCTAGGCAAGCACTGTCCACTCCATTGTGACTTTCCTGTGCTTCTTGGAGCCATACAGGCCATGTCTCACTCCTTGCGGGCAAGGCAGCTGGCAGAGCCAGTAACCATTGGCCAATCCACTTAATTCTGGCTTTATTTCATCTTCATTGTGCCTTTGGGGACCAGAGAGGAGCCTTATGGAAAAGAGATCAGTGGATGTCTTAAAACACCCACCTAGGCCCAGAAAACCTGCAGAGGACCGGAGCCTGAAAAAAACACCAGTGGGCCGGGACTGGGTAATAACTGGTAACGGGTCTGCCTCTGTTAGGTTGGGGGCTGAGTGCCAGGCTGGGAGAGGCTCCCAGCACGGCCTCAGCGCACTGTGTCATTCCGTTCCAGCCATGGCTCAGATGCTCCCTGAGTGAGGACCCTTGGTCCCAGAGGCTAAAGGAGGACTGAGAAGGGTCTCCCTTTGTTCTGTCTTCCACCTGGGCCAGGCCTGCCCACCTGTCTGGTCTGCGTATGCCTTGGTTCCTCTGTGTACTGTGACGATGCCGACCTAGAGAGCATCCCTCCTCTTCCCAAGACAACCGCTTACCTGTACGCCCGCTTCAACCGCATCCGCCAGATCCAAGCCGGAGACTTCAAAGGGCTGAGTACGTGGTCCTCTGGCAGAAGATGAGGGAGGGCCTATCAGAGGGAACCCCCGGAACCCCCAGGCCCCCTGCCTTGTGCCCCCTTTCCGCGAACAGTCACAGACACAGTGTCCCATGTGAGTTAGCCTTTCCCCCTTAGCTTTCAGTCTCAGCAGCTACCCAATGGCAATAACCCCAAGCCTTTGTAATCCCCTCCCTTGAAGATTTTGGATAATAAAAGTGTCCCGTCTTCATCTGCACTCCCCAAAGCTCTGGAAAGCTGGAAAAGGGAAGATAGGATCAAGCCTGCATTTTCAGATTCCAAGCTGCTGTAGCTCTGTGCCCTCCTGGTCTCTGGACAGACCAGGCTAACTCAGCCCCACAGCCCTGACGCGATTTGCCTAATTGTGGTTTGTTGTGTGTTTTGCTCCTTGATGCCTTCTACCCTGCCTCTGCTAGGAGACCTGGGCTCTCATCCAGATCCTGCCACTAATTCCCAGAACCCTCGGGGTCACGGCAACCTTTTCTGTAAACCAGCGGTGAAGGGGCCGGGGGCGGGGGACGGCGGTAGAATGGGTCCAGGCATTGGTGGGCCTGTCGGGTCTTGCCTTCTACCGAACCCCTCCGAGGTAGGCAGCCGCCCCAGAGGGCAGAACTCCAGGGGAGAGCATTGCAGAATCTGAGGGCTTTCCCCCGGGGGTCCTGGTTTATGACGTTATATCTCCTGGCTTGGACTTCATACAGGTGGAGAACAGACTGGCCTTCCCTATCTTAAAAGGGATGGAGCGGGGTCCAGGTGGGTCCAGCGAGGGTGAGGAAAGATGGTAGGTCCCATGTCTCTCTGTGTTCTCCCCCATGTCCCACAGCAAAACTGAAGCGGATCAACCTTTCCAGCAATTCTATCTCCTCCATTGATGACGACGCCCTCTCGCTGCTGCCTGAGCTGCAGGATCTGATCCTTCCAGAAAACCAGCTGGGGGCTCTGCCTGCGCTGCCTGCCAGCCTCGAGGTCCTGGACGTCCGCCAGAACCGGCTCCGGAGCTCGGGGATACAGCCTGGAGCCTTCAGGGTGAGCCAGGGCCTGTAGCCCACCGTCTCCCCGCTGCCACCCCTGCCCACAGCCACACACACACACACCCATGCCCTCATGGGACAGCCCTGCTCCAACCCTGTCCTGCGTCTAATAATCAAACCCCATTTTCTTCATCGGTTCCCATTATTGTATTAAACTTTTTGTTGTTGCTGCTGCCAACAGACTGCTTCTGACACAAGGAAGGGTGTTTAGGGGCACCCGGGTGCCTCAGTGGGTTAAAGCCTCTGCCTTCAAGGGAGACAAACCATAGGTGACTCTTAATCTCACAAAACAAACTGAGGGTTGCTGGGGAGAGGGGGTTGGGGTTATGGACATTGGGGAGGGTATGTGCTATAGTGAGTGCTGTGAAGTGTGTAAACCTGGCAATTCACAGACCTGTACCCCTGGGGCTAATACATGATATGTTTATAAAAATATAAAAATAAAAATAAATGTGTCAATTAAAAAAAAAAAAAAAGCCTTTGCCTTCAGCTCAGGTCATGATCCCAGGGTCCTGGAATTGAGCCCTACATCGGGCTCTCTGCTCCGTGGGGAGCCTGCTTCCTCCTCTCTCTGTCTCTGCCTCTGCCTCCCTGCCTACTTGTGATCTCTGTCAAATAAATTTTTTTAAAAAATGTTTATAAATAAATAAATAAATAAATAAAAGTCCTTACTATTTAAAAAAAAGAAAGAAAGGGTGTTTAACAACGTGCTAGCCATGAATGTCCCGGAAATGGAAATTCAGGGCTCGTTCCTGGAAATGGGGGGCGGGTGGTGCTGAAAGTCAAGGTCAGCAGCTCTCCCTCTCTGTCTCCCGCAGCTTCTGCTCCCCAAAAACACGGGCTTGCATGGGACTTGCCATAGTGCTGGCCCCAGCCCAAACTCTACAGAAACCTTTATTTCCAAAACCCGCCACTAACTGACTAACCGTTGTCCTTCTGTGAGCAAATGCTTGTGGGAGACAGTCTGATTGCTCGCTGGCTGGCCAGTTCTGATGGGAAGGGCTAACTCCCCAGCACAAATTGGGCTGAGCTCCAGGAGTGGTTCCGGTGCGGAAACACACGCGGACTTGGTTTGCCTCGCGTGCCCGTGGCTCTTGTTCTGTGGCTCTGGCTAGCTCCCGAACACGGTCTCCACAGCCATCCCGGGTTTAGCATTGGAGACTTTTCGTCTGGGAAAATCCCTTTCTGATGGCAGAAAAGTTGAGGCTGGACTGAAAGCGTCCCCCTCCCACCCCCTGCCTGCCCCTCGCCCACCCTTCACCTGCTCCTCGTTACCAGCTGACCAGCCCTATGACATGCTCCCCCAGCTGCCAGGCCTCAACGCAGCCCCGATCCTTCTACGTCCAGTAGGAGTTGGTGCCTGTGAGCTCCTGAGAGGCTGGGCAGTCCCTGCAGCACCCTTCTCACCGCGTGTGCCGAGCCTGGCTCGAGGCTGAGGCTCAGGAGACCCTCAGTGAATGAATGGGGTGACATCAGGCACCCATCCCTGCCGGGTCCAAGAACATCTGCCAGCCTCCTGTGCCCTTTGTCTCCTCCCCAGGCGCTAGAGAAGCTGCAGTTCCTCTACCTGGCTGACAACCTTCTGGGCTCCATCCCCGGGCCTCTGCCTCTGAGCCTGCGCTCGCTGCACTTGCAGGTAAGCCACACCCCAAGGGCAAGAACGTTGACTGGGGCCAGGGACACGGAGGTCAGATAACTGGGACCCTCCTTAGGCAGTGGCGGGCGTCTCCTTCACTGATTGCTCACTGGAGGCAGGGATCGGAGGTCTTGCCCAGGTCATTGTCCACAGCCTACGGGTGACTGCCTTCCTCTCCTTCTCCTGAAAATGCTTCCTGTCCCCCCATGTCCTTCATCCCATCTCAGTGGACTGCTCGTTCCTTCCCTGCCTTCCCTTCCCCTCTGTTTCATCCTCCTGCCTCATCCCTCTAACTCTCTCCCCTCACTCTCCATCCATCCTCCATGGGCCACCTCCCCTCGCCCCTTGCTGCACGGCCTTGGCGTTCTGTACCTCAGTTTCCCCAGCCTCAGGAAGGGACCTGCCAGGGAAAGCTGAGATCTGCCTTTGGCGCTGCCTGAGGGCCCTCTCTAGGCAGAGGTGTAGCAGCTGTCTGTGTGTTCTTTCTAGAATAACATGATAGAGACCATGCAGAGCGACGCCTTCTGTGACACCGAGGAGCACAAACACAGCCGGAGGCAGCTGGAGGACATCCGCCTGGACGGCAATCCCATCAACCTGGGCCTCTTCCCCAGCGCCTACTTCTGCCTGCCTCGGCTCCCCATCGGCCACTGCTGCTAGCTCGCCTGCTCCGCACACGCGGCGAGCACCCTCGCCACCTTCCAAAGCACGACTGCCTCTGCGCGGTGGTCTTCCGTTCAGCAAGGAACCAGTTGCAAAACTCACCCCTACTCCCTTCAGCCACCTTCTATATGCATGCACGGACACACACACACACACACACACACACACACACACAGAGAGAGAGAGACATACGTATACACAATCGATACACACACACATATGCACACACACACACTCGCGTGCATAAATGTCCTTTAGTAGCCAAATTTGCATTTCTCATCCTCTTTGCTTAACACCTATGTCTCCTGACTCAGAGAAGATTAGCCTCTGCAGCAAAGCTCCGAGAGTCTCCATCCCTCCTACCTACAGGGAATGCCGGGAAGTCATGGAAGAGGAAGAGAAAGGGGAGAAAAAGAAGGAGGAAGGGGGAGAAGCAGTGGCATGCTTTAGTCAGCTCTTACTACTAGGTTCGCAGCACCAATTATTACATTTTCCAGAATATTGCTTCTCGGCCTTTTGGCTAAGACCAAGTGTAGGATTTTTGCAAGCCGCTCGTTAACCACAGCTTTTATTAAAGATTAAGTTACAAGTTCGCATTTAAATACATTACATTGAAAATAAATGCAATAAATACTCAAACTCATTCCTTTCCAATTAGTTTACTATATTTTACTTGTAACCATGTTCTTGAACTTATGTCTATGACATACTCTGCAATGACCTGCCCCTGGTGCTCATCTCTTCCCAGCGACACTCAGGGACATCACATTGGCAGATTGAACTTGTTCATGGTGAGAGTATTGACACCACAGACATCAGTACATGCTACACTCTGGGATTCTTTCAGAGAGAGAGACAAAGCTGGTTGTTAAGCATTTGCCAGCACACCACGGAGGAGAAAGCAGACTATTTTACCCACTACGGGTAGGGTGGGGTTTCCATGGGACTTTCTTTTCTCGCTCTTCCTAGACCAAGGGCTTCCTACTAGATTTGGAGGGAGCCGTTCATAAGGACAGAGACTAACAGGAATCTTCATCTGGATGCCCTCTTTGTAGCGCTCACCTGTCCCTGGCTCACTGGACAGCCTTGGAGCTCGGCTCCACCAGCCTGAGGGGTTCCATCCGGGCAGTGCTCTCTTCCATGGTTAACCACCAGAGGGCAGCCTTGCGCAAAGAGAAATAAATAAATATAACCATTACCTGCAACCTTGACGTCTGGGTGAGGTCTGCTGAGATGGGAGATGGGAAGAAGGCCAACTGTGATGCAGCTGACTTGTTCCTTGAATTATGAAGAGAGGAGAGATGTCACCCGTCTTCTTATAAGGAGATGTTGGACAAGGGGGATGCGATAGGTGGGTCCTTGGCGTCCGTGTTGATTGAAGCACAGAAGAGGGTTGAGGGGGCACCTGGGTGGCTCAGTCGTTAAGCCTCTGCCTTTGGCTCAGGTCATGGTCCCAGGGTCCTGGGATCGAGCCCTCACATTGGGCTCTCCACTCAGTGGGATGTCTGCTTCTCCCTCTCCCACTCCCCTGCTTGTATTCTCTCCTTCACTGTGTCTCTGTTGAATAAATTTTAAAAATCTTTTAAAAAAAGAAAGGAAGGAAGAAAGGAAACAAGAATTGAGGCAGGCAGTCTGATTGAACACGTACCTGCCATGGGCTAGGCACTATGTTCCACGCTGGCGATGAGATGACGTGTAACAGACATACTCCTTTTCCTCATGGAGCTTCGAGTCTGGCACGGAGAACACATGTGCAACAAACAGTCACACAACCACACCACACAACTCATGACACAGACTATAAGGGAAATCCACGGAATGCTGTGAGAGTGTACGGGGGAGACCCCATCTAAGAGGCCAGCAGACTGTGAAGGAAAAATTTCTAAGCTAAAACCTGAGGGAGAAGTAGGAGTTAGCCAGGTGCTCTGTTACCAAGGCAATCACTCAAGGTGGGGAGCCATGGCGCAGGGGTGGGGGGTCCCCAAGTCTGGCTGGACCCACGTAGCAGCGATTGCACTCCTCTGCGTCCCCTGCACGCCTGGCACCCCTCCTTCTGATCCTCAGGCCAGTCCCACAAGCAGACAAGTCGTGGATTATTAGCCACATTCTTGAGATGAAGAAACCAAGAACTCCAGAAGATAAAAGCGCTTCCCGGAGCTCACGTGGCCAGCTGAGGCTTGGCCCAAGACACAACACACACATTGCAAACGGAGTGGGAAGTCTTAAAGGTGAGACGTGCCCTTGTGGTTCCCGCGCTGCCTGCTTCCTCTCTCCTAGAGATCCAGGGCTTCCAGCACGCCTGGGACTGGGAGAACAGTGAACCAATAGCTCCCTGCCTTTCCGAACAGTAGAGAACAGTAGCATTTCAGGACAGTGAAGTTCTCTTTCTCTTCCCGTCTTCCAAGGAGCTCATTACAGTAGGAAGGCTCTCTGTCTTTCTGCCCCTCTCTCTCTCTCTGTCTCATTCACCAGTCCTATCTTCCTCCATGTCCTGTTTTACTGGATTATGACAGGGCCTAGGCATGCAACAGCAGAAAGCCTCAAGATCCCAACTGCAAGAAAACTTGGGTTGGAAAAAGAGAGAGAGAATTTTCCAGAACTGGGGCTCCTGGGGGCTAGAAGTCACATCATACCCACATACCCCACGTTAGTCTGTGCTGAGTACAGAAAGTCATCTGACCCCCACTCTAGGGCAGAGAAAGGGGCTGGTGATTCCTGGACTCGTGGAATTTGCCAGATACCATAATGGAAGCTATTATGCACATCAACTCATCCAGTCCCAAAAAGAGCCCTAGAAAGGAGGGATGTTTATCCCACGTTGGAGATGAGGCAACATGGTTACAGAAGGGCGGGACCCCAAATGAACAGGCAGTAAGTGGCAGAGCCAGGATTCAAAACTGGGTCCCTCCTGGCACAGGGCCCCAAGTCCTGTTCTCACAGCTCACGTCAGCGTGGGCGCCCCTTTCAAGGCCAGTGGAAGGAGGCAGCTCCTGACCATTGCTTCCCTGAGGCTGGGACAGGATCTCCCAGGGGACGGGCTGCCTGTGCAGCTGTCTCCACGCTGATCTCCTGATCTCCCATTTGGGGCAAGGGAAGCCCAAGGAATAGAAAGAATGTCTTTGTTGGCTGCCTCTCTGAAGAAATTCTAAACAGTGCATCTGTCCCCAGGCCCCTCTGGAATCCAGAGAGGGGAGGGGTGGAACCAGAAATCCGAGGCTCCCAGCAGCTGCTCTGTCCTGACAAGGGGGGTGTGCTTTGACTTCTCCAGGACCTAGAGCAGAGAGCACCTCTTTCCCTAGTGCAAGGCCCTCCAGTCCTGCTGGATGACAAAGACAGGATGGTTGGGAGCCAGAGGAGGAGACCATGGTGGAGGGAGAGGGACAGTCAGGCACCAGCGCGGCCTCTCCACCAGTGAGCAGTCTGAGGTTGGCTCCAAATCCACATCTTCCAAGAGCAGGACGCTCCAAGCCTCCCTCATCTGGGTCATCAGCGGCCATCAGCATTTGTACTCAATGCTCAACCTTGGCGATCTTCTTCCTTTTTTTTTTTTTTTTTAAGAGTTTATTTATTTATTTGACAGACAGAGATCACAAGTAGGCAGAGAGGCAGGCAGAGAGAGAGGAGGAAGCAGGCTCCCTGCCAAGCAGAGAGTCCAATGCGGGGCTCGATCCCAGGACCCTGGGCTCATGACCTGAGCCGGAGGCAGAGGCTTTAACCCACTGAGCCACCCAGGTACCCCAGCCTTGGTGATCTTGACGAGAGCTCTGGCTCTTGGGTGGCTCCCTGGGGGCCATCCTGTCAGCCCCGTAGGAAGAAGCACCTCCATCCTCTTCAGCACCCCGTGTCCTTGGGACCTCTGCCCTGCCCTGTTCCGTGAGGCTCAGGGGAGAACGGGGGACACCAGGAGTGGGCGTTTGCAGGGACTGTCCTCCACCTGCCGGTCCTCAGCTCCACTGCAAGGCCTGGGCCAGAAGGGACAGGTGGGAGATAGAGGTCCCAGGGAGTGACCCCCCTCCCCCTGACTTTCTTCCTCCTGCCTTGTCCCTCAGTCTCCTCCCTGAGCAACAGTCTCTTATGTTCCTGCTGTGAATCTGCACCCTACAGAGCTCTTTACATATGGGATCCAATGTATAGTCCCACCGACTCTCTGCGAGGAAGGTACTATTAACCCTACTTCCAGATAGATTATGGGAGGCTGAGTGATTTGTTCAAGAGCAAGATGACTTAACATCTAAGAAAAGAAGACTGGGAGCGCCTGGCTGGCTCAGTCGGAAGAGCACGAGACTATCTCCAGGTTGTGAGTTCAAGTCCCACGTGGAGTGCAGAGATTCCTTAAATAAATAAAACTTTTTTAAAAAGGGAAAAGAAAACCAGACTGAGGGTAGGGAAGGACAGCCATCAATTTTTGGGAACTCCAGGTGCTGGAGCAAAAGATGAGTCCCCTCCCTCCCCAGCCCGAGAGCTCTTTGACCAGGGAGGAGTGGAGAGAACATCTCTCAGGCCGAAAAAAATGGGAGCTGCCCACGCACCTGAGTCCTGAGCCCGCCTCAAAGCTGTCATGACCCTGATCCTGATGGAGCACATGGGGTGAAGAGGTGGCTTCTGAGGGTCTGAGCTCAGGAAAGCCCTAGGGTCAAGGACACACTGCTCCCCCCATCTCTGCCCCACCCAAACCCACATGGGTGGCCCGGCACCCACATGCCCGTGTCTGCGTCCTTGCTGCTCCAGCTGGAAGGAGGGAGGCAGACAGACAGGAGGTGGACAAGGCTCTGCCCTGCCCCCTCCACTGTCTGGAGCGCTCTCTGCTCCTTCCCCTGCCCGCCCCTCCCCTCCCCGACACTACACACCGGCTTGGTTTTGCCCCTCCTCTCTCTCTCTCAAGGTTGTCTCCCTGGCCAGGCGAGCTTCACCTTCTCCAGCAGCCACCCTCTCTTCCCACGCATCTCCCTCCCGTGGCTGCTGCCGGTCCAACCAGGGTCTCCTTATGGAGGCAGGAC